TACGTACAAATGTAGGTGATGATGATCACTCGTGTGAACAAAGAAGCATCGCAATGCATTTTCCAATAATGTAGAACTTTCCTTTCTTCTTCAGAACCTTCCCAACTCCTTTTGGTGAAGAAGACTTCTTCTTCTCCCAGTTATTCACTGCCTCCTCCTTCGACTTCTCCCTCATTGTTTGTTGCGTTTCCATATAAAAACCTTTTTGTTATTAATGGCGCTTATAAAATATGATTGTGTGGTGTTTAAATGCTTCAAAAGGAAGTGAAGATGTGTTATATATATTTATACAAGAGGTAGCTAGAGAGGAAGAGAATAGAAGAAAGCATTCCCCACCATTGCTTCGGGCCCACTTGTGGAGTGTGACGACTATCTTCCAATTAGGGTTGAAAATATTTGATGTGTTGTCTTCATGTCTCCCTTCAGTTCAAAGATACATCCTCGGTAGAGATGTTTGTGATGGGTTTACTCAGTTTGAGTGGACCATGTTAAATTAAAACATACGGCTATGCGGTACCGAAAATTTACCTATGCAAACCCATGTCGACGAATTAAGATCAAAGTCAGTCTTCCTTTACAATGTGGACAGCTCATTTCGAGTAAATCACCGAGGACCTCACAAAGCAAAATGATCATAATCAAAGGCGTTTTGTTTTCTTATTAAACCACATATTCACTTTTCATTTAAAATTTTGTATAGTTGACGCCATTAAAGAATGGATACAAAGGAAGCAACGTAGTATATATACAGAATTGTTTGTTTACTTTCATTCCACGACTTTTTCACTGTCGTATAAACCAAATTGTATATAAAATGTTGTTGGGTCGTGGATCTTTTTGTGGGGTTTTGTTAGGAATATTAAAGATTAGACCTTAATTGTCTTTGAAAGTCTTTTTTTATCTTTTTTTGGGCTTTGTTAGACCTATGCTTTAGTTACCTACCATTGATGCATTAGGATTTGTTCTCAAATACTATTTGTATCCCATGTATCATTATTAACATAATGAAATTAACATACTTATCAAATAAAAAATAGAATATTAATTTGGGAATGTTCGATGTTCATATTTCTCTTTTTCAGATCTTGTTTCTTACTCTTTTGGCAGTGCATATGTCATCATGTTTATGCTTTTCTTTTTCATGTGAAACATCTGATGATTCTATCTTTTTTTAAAAAAATATTAAGATGTTGGTGATATTTTTTTGGAAACGTACGTATTAACTGAACCCACTGATGGAAGATAAAGACAAGAAATAAGAGAGTGTTGTATGGACTTGTAAAATAGCATAGCCTCACAAGTTTCTGAAATCAGAAATGAGGACGACCACACAAAAATACCGTTTTCTGATTGTGTAATATACCTGTTATAATGCTTTTGATTGTCAAAAAAAAATTGGGAGAGTTTTCACTTATCCCTTTTAGTAACGCCAAAGAGAAGATACTGTTTCAGTTTTAACAATTGAAGAATGATAATTTACGTTTTGTAAATCTAAGAGAGAATAATAGAAAATGGGTTTATATCAATTGGGATTATGAATTCAGAATCTAACAAAGTTTTCAACTGTTTTAAATATATATTTTCTCCAAAAAAACCATTTTAAGTATATTAGTGGTTTCATTTTCCACAAAAAGTGGAAGATCACATGGAAGAATTTTATGTGATTTCAAATGGAGGAATTGAAACGCCTAATCCATCACATCTTTCGTCATCAGTATTGGATCCTATATAATCCACGAAAGAGTTATGTGAAGAGGATGCACCGCAGCACCGTGCACGTGAAGTCCATGCAGACAAGACATCCCTTGCCTGTTTGCACTCAAAATCTTTTAATTACCTTTTGAAAATATTTTAAACAACCTTAAATTTGTGAGAATGTAGAAAATTTAGAGTTTTCTTCTTTTTATTATTTAAACTTCGCTCCATTGCCGTCCATAAAATAGCTAAATATGTAGGGACATATACCACCACCCCTTCACTGGCTTTTTGTTTTGTTTTGTTTTTTCTGCCCAACTGCGTCACGTTTTTTGTTTATTTATACGTCTACTACGAGATCAACGAACGATGTACATAGCTTGCACTTGGTCACATTTCTATATTTTCATTGTAAACATTCAAGAAATGAATTTCTTCGATTTTCCTTTTGATTAGTGGAAAACCATCTAGAATCTTCATTGTTTTTTACCTAAATCTTTACTCCTAACCATACCCCTTAAATTAAGTAAAGTTTTTTTCCTACCCAGCCTCTCTAGTTTTGGCTCAGTAAAACCATCATAACCAACATAATAAGATCTAAAATAATACCATCAATCATAACTAAAGACAGCCTTGTTAATCGTCATGGAGTATAGCAGAAATAGACTTAGATGTGGATACAATTTGCTGATGTAATAAGAATTCTTACAATTCACTTCAGTCAGTAGCGGCCCTGAGGGAAAGCAATAGAAACAGTTGCTTCCGGCCCTCTTTATAATAAGTAAACTTTTGGCCGTTTATTTTGTAAAATCTTTTGTTGTTCAGTTGGTAAATTGTTCTGAGACATTAAAGAGGTGTTGGATTCAAATCCTTTAGTACATTTTTTCGGTCTTTTATATATTTTAAGTTTTCGGCCTCAAATAGTTTAGGGCCGGGCCTGCTTCAGTTTATGGCCAGGGTCGTCTCTGTGCACAGGTAAATAATGCATGTGTTTCGGGCGAAACAAGATATAGATATTTACAGGGCTAATATTAACATTAATTTTATTTAGTTCTATTGGTAAGGATGTGAGGTTGAGTACCGCAGATGGCTGGGTTCATCTTGAATCTTCAATTTTGGTTAATTTTCTGATTTTTAAAGATAAATGGGCTAAAACTTTTTTGTGCTTCTGGGTCAATATTTTCCAGGGACGGCTCTGTTTATGGCTGCCTCGTTCCTTACGAAAATAGAAGTACATATAGTATCGCAGTTTCTCTGGCCATCATGGTATACATATTTTAAACCAAAGTCAATTACAACTTTATCATAACGCCAGGCCAAACCAAACCAAGATTCCCACCTAAAAGTGTTCAAGCTATGATATGTTTGTAACCCCATGTCTGCGAGCTCAACCCCATCCTTCCTTCGAATTACAGTGTACTCAACTATCAATCTTGAAGCTCTTTTTATCTCATTTTCAATTTATTCTTATGTCTCAAACCGAGCTCACATCCGGTTCGGTTTATATCCGGAATAGTAAGAGTATAATGAATTGGTCCAAATCAAAGTAAGATGTAAGATGTAAGATGAAAGATAATTCTGGTTATTTTACATTCAATTATTGACGGAGAAGTTGGTTTGATTTCCTTCCATGATCCGGTAATTTCGGTAGGCTTGTACTTATACTCGTTGACATATATGTAACAGTAATCAAAAATTAAGCAAGCTGGTAAGATGCCTTGCAACCATTTGGTTTAAAGAAAGCATTAGACATTGTGTTAATAACAGAGGCAGTTTCACCAAACTCAGTTTAATTGTCAAGCATGCTTGACATGGAAGACAGCTGGTTTTGCTGAGAATATCAATGGGAAGTGTATCAAGAACTCTTGCAGGAACAAGACAATCACAATACCTTAACCAGATACATAATGTATGTGTTTCATATAAGCCATGCAACTATTAAAATTTTGAATTGATATTTTTGGATTTATTTATAAATAATATAGCAGATGTAATAATTTGGAGTGATACGATGTTGCTAGAGGTCCACCAGCAGAGTCCCTTGTATTTTTGGCCATGAATCATATGATCATAACTAACCTCTTGGCGCCATATGAAAAAATATCTGTCTACCAAGTTTCTTCTCCAAAACAGACCGTTTTATTTACTCAGCCATAGCCCATTATCAGGCCCATAAAAATATGATTCCAATATTGCGCTTGATTGCATTGCAGTGATAATATTTCGTAAATTCAAATAAGCTATTTAATCAAGAAATCCAAACACAAGAAAAAACTGGCTATTGTATATTTCTATGCTCACCCATACATTGTTTTATTTAAAGACTAGGATCGGCCCGCCCTACGGACGGGATACACTTTACTTGTGATCCAGATTATTACTTTTTGTAAGATTTTGTAGTTTGTGTATAAGATTTGTATTTGCAAAAGATGTGTATAATAATGAATTATTTTTTTAAGTTTTAGATAAAATGATATTATATGTGGTAAAATATTTTTTTTGCTTGTATACAATAGTTGTTTCTATATTAAAAATTACGACAGTGATATGTTGCGAGGATTTCAAATGGTCTCGATGTTGCTTCCTTTTAAAAAAATTTAATCACATATTCGATGTCAAAATGATTTGTTTTTTTTTCTTCCTAATATTAATTATTGTATAAATAAAATAAAATAATTTCATATAAAACCTGATACGCTGATTTTTGTAATCATTGATCTAAATTGAACTATTTTGGCATATTTCAAATTATTTATCTTATAATTGAAATAAAAAAAAACCACGAAAACACACTGTCAGGTCTTGCAAAGATTATGAACCACCACTTGTCGACCATGGTCAGTTAGATATACTTATTAGACTCGGGTGCATTGAAGCATATATCTGAATATTTTGGCTTCTCATTACAGTAATAGATCATATACCGGTGGAAATTGTGCAGATAGATCATTATTTATCAGTAGACCCTTTTTCAAGATGAATTTAGGTGCAGCGTATATAAACTGAACCTTGTGTAAACTGAACCTTGTGTTTAAATGGCACAAAAGAATAGCAAATACGAAAGAATAACAAATACTTTGAACTTAGACAGATTGTTTGGTCACATATATGTAGATTATTAAGTTATTCTATAGTTGACCCTCCTCCATTAACGTTGAATCTTAGTGCATCGTATATATACTGGACCTTAGTAGTTAAATGTCATGATAAAAATATCAAGTTGATCAAGCTTATACAGACAATTGAAGACTGTTTGGACACGTAGTCATAGAGCAATAAGTCACTTTATAGAATGATTCTTTCTTTCAAATAGAATGTGAGTTCTGCCTACGTCTGAATCAAACATAGATTACTAAAAGGGGAGGGGGGAACAAAAAACAAACTTGTTCAGAAAAAAAAAACACAGATGCAACAGCAATATTCAATATCCAAAGCTCTGATTATCTTAACCTATGCCATGAGTGGTTTTTTGGCCATCTTGGAAGCTGCTTGCGTTGGAGGCTTCTTTGTGTAGACATCACTTGGAGCTGCTCCCGTAGTCGGTTCTGCCTGAAGACTACTACAACAATGTCCACCTTCGCAGGTCCTGAGTTAGCACCAGGCATATCATACCCATTGTCATCGTTGCTCCCAAACCGAATGACTTATAATTATTTTCATACTAAGGAATGAACCACAATGAAATATACATGAAACTTACATCTTCAACTAAGGTAGAGAGTGGCATAAGGTCCCCTTGGCTAAGGATGAACGTGTAAGTCTTGATTAACATGTCTGCAATAAAATAGGGGACCTGAGTCTCCTCCTATATTGTTAAGATCCTGATCTCGTTAACCAAAAAGAAAAACAAACTGTACTTATTAGAAAACTGAGACATCTACCATGAATCATGCATCATTCAAATAACAATATTTAATTGCTACCACTCCAATGCTTATAACTATAAGAAACTCATAAAACCAGTGCCTCTAAGAGGCTAGGGGTGTAGAGTGGTAAAAAGGATATACATTCAAAGCCTTCTCTTTTAGATCTGGAAGTGTTTCATTTGATGATCCAGCAAGGGCATTGACAATTAGCTCATACTACAAAGTCAGCAACAGTAAGTTGTTTAGTGAACAACGAATCCAGAACAACTATAATATAATTACAGATCTTGGAAAATTATAATACCTACAAAAATAAAGGTATTATAATCTGCACATTGGGAAGACATCTCCAACACAGCCGCAACGTTGGGATCACGAAGATGAACCGTTGGTGCTTACAGTACCGACTTTCATACCATCAGGGAGGAGAGAAGTGTTCTTGCCATTCTAGTATGCATAAGTTTTTAGGGTTAATATGACTGCGAGGAATGAGAAGATGAGTTAACGGGAAGAAGTCTTACCTTTATATAGTGCCTTACAGAGAAAGACAGTGGAGTTAAGAAGTATGATAATGGCGAGGAATCAGTAACTCCAAAAGTTACTAACGAACTGAACATAAACCCAAACGACGCGACCCGACGATTCAAATCGATTCGACTCACCCAATATCTCGAAATTCCATTGTTGGTGTCAGAGAAATAAGAAGAACATAGCTGGTCTCCTAGATCTAGGCAAAACACGAACTCTAGATTTCGGTGGCTACTTTCTGGAAGACGATATTCGCCGCAGTATTGGGGTGGTCAATTTGATGAACAAAACGCTAAAGCCCAAACATTATTTTGAAGCCCATAAGAGGAAGCTCCAGTACACGTGACAATTTTTCCTTATTTGATTTGTTGACGTGGCTCTCTCAAAGAGGGACAAACTATACTTTATATATATAGATATAGATTTAGATGCTAACTAATTTCTCCTAGCATGCCTAGTATAATGGCACAGTCGCCTTAACTGAAGCATCAATTATACTGTCTGTTCGTTCCTTTTCTTAGCAACCTTGCCTTTGACAAAGGGAAACTCTATTATTGCGTCTTCATTATAATGTTCTTAAAGTTGTATAGAAAGTAATTTCCTTAGCCTTAACTATATAATAAACCGTTATTCATTTAATGCATTATCTTGTTTAGGGAAAAAGTAAAGTGGATATATAATAAGATGAAAACAAAGAAATAAATGAAACGCAACAACCAAGGCCAAAAAAGGTGCGTTACCATTAATTCAGGGAAAGCGAAATAAACCAAAATCTCGTCTAACGAAGTTAACAACTTACCCACTCCTCTCATTCACTACTTACCATTTTAACCTAATCTAGATTCACTCCTTCTGCAGTTCATACATACACAAAGCCTTTGATAACTAACATCCACGTAAACATATAGTATAGTCCAGAGATCAAAGCCATTGATGGTGAAAGAGTATGAAGATACCCCCAGTGTTTAATTGGAGTTATGTACAGTAAATAAATGTAGTAGTCATTACACGTAGTCACACATCTCTAGGACAGGTCCAATCCCTATCAACTACCACCAACTTACTACACATGTCCGTACACTAAGCTGTAATTTGTGTTAAATTCTAATCCAGTACAATTATACTCAACTATGTACTACTACTCTATTAGGCATAAGTATTAGTATTATGTGAATCCCAAATAGTTACATTGATAAATTATTGACGACGCTTTTATAACCACAGCAATTCTGGCGTGACTCTCTCCGCAACTTTATTTTATTATTTTCCTATAAGTATTAACATTTCTTTCTCTTTTCAGTCTTCCACTATAACTCACTACATTCGCCGGAGACAATGGCTTCAACGCGATTGCTCTCTCTCCTCTCCCTCGTCACTTTCTCTCTCATCCTCACCACGACCCATGCTTCCTCCCGCTCTCTACCACCACCATCACATCAAACCACCGTCCTCGACGTCGTTTCATCTCTCCAGCAAACCCAACACATCCTCTCACTCGACTCGACCCTTTCATCACTCTTCACCACCAACACCAACACCATACCCGAATCCGACCCGGTTCTCCTCAACTCATCCTCTCCACTATCACTAACCCTCCACTCCCGAGACACTCTCGTCGCCTCACAGCACAAAGACTACAAAAGCCTAGTACTGAGCCGACTCGACCGAGACTCATCCCGAGTCGCCGGAATCACCGCCAAGATCCTCTTCGCCGTCGAAGGCATCGACAGATCCGATCTCAAACCCGTCGACACCTCCTCATACCAACCCGAGGATCTAACCACCCCCGTCGTCTCCGGCGCTAGCCAAGGAAGCGGCGAGTATTTCTCCCGCATCGGAGTCGGAACTCCGGCGAAGGAGATGTTCATGGTCCTCGACACCGGAAGCGACGTGAACTGGATCCAATGCCAACCCTGCTCCGACTGCTACCAACAATCCGACCCGGTTTTCGACCCGACAACGTCCTCAACCTTCAAACCCCTCTCTTGCTCTTCCCCACAGTGCGGCTCTCTAGAAGTCTCCGCTTGTCGCGCAGACAAGTGTCTCTACCAAGTTAGTTACGGAGACGGGTCTTTCACCGTTGGAGACTACGCCACCGATACGGTGACGTTTGGCTCCAACGGTAATAAAGTGAACGACGTCGCTTTGGGGTGCGGGCACGATAACGAGGGACTGTTCACTGGAGCTGCTGGTTTACTTGGTTTAGGAGGCGGAGGCTTGTCAATGACTAATCAGATCAAAGCGACGTCGTTCTCCTACTGCCTCGTGGACCGCGACTCGGGGAAGTCGTCGAGTCTCGACTTCAACTCGGTCCGAGCCGGGGACGACGACGCGACGGCTCCGCTTCTCCGCAACGCCAAGGTCGACACTTTCTACTACGTCGGACTCAGCGGGTTCACCGTCGGCGGTCAGCAGGTCTCCATCCCGGCGGAGGTGTTCGCCGTCGACGCTTCCGGCGGCGGAGGGGTGATTCTGGACTGCGGAACCGCCGTGACTCGGCTCCAGACTCAGGCTTATAACTCGCTGCGCGACGCGTTCGTTAAGCTCACGGCGAATCTAAAGAGAGGGACGTCGAGCATCTCGCTGTTCGACACGTGTTATGATTTCTCGTCGTTGTCTAGCGTGAAGGTTCCGACGGTGGCGTTTCGTTTCACGGGAGGGAAGTCGATTGATTTGCCGGCGAAGAATTATTTGATACCTGTTGATGACGCGGGGACGTTCTGCTTTGCTTTTGCTCCGACGTCGTCTTCGTTGTCGATCATAGGGAACGTGCAGCAGCAGGGGACACGTGTCACTTACGATCTTGCGAATAATCTTATCGGGTTGTCGGCGAATAAATGCTAAAGAGAAGAAGTGAATGAGATTTGATTAGTAGTTTTACAGCTATATATGATCAGTAAAACTCATTTTTTTATTTTCTTTGTAATGGAAAACAAGTGTGAATTTTTCTTTTGTTTATTTTAATTAATTATCAGTAGTTATTTCCGTGTTTTAATCGATTAATAATAGGATTAATTATTATTATAAATTTGAAAATGTTGTCTGAGCGAGATGCTTTTAGTTATTGTTTGATAGTTTGTTGTTGTCTTTGTGAGAAAGTACATGTCAATTAGTTAAGTTTATATAAAAGTAGGATCTTATTATTGTAAGGAAAGAAAAGTCTTCAAAACACTTTTGTTGTGGCCCCTATCTTCTACTATTAAATATCAAAACTGTTGTCTGAATCTACCAACTGTACGAAACAATCAATGTGAAAATAAAGCTCTTTTTCTGGCTCGAATGTGAAAAAGATAAGCCACAGTAGTATTTAAATTTACATGGAACCGTAAGTGAATCAGAGAATCTATCCAATCACAGATTGATTGTCGATTTATAGTGAACAAAACTTATCCACAAACTTATACCAGTATTAACAATTGGGAGAAAAAATACCTAAATTGATTTTGTTTTCCTTTTCGTTCACACTAGTTCCGGAAGAAATTCAGCAAAAACATTGGAAAATTATGTGTGCATAAGCTTTCATGCAGAAAGCCACGTCTTGGTGGGACTTTTAGAGTTTATTTAGCTTTAGCCATTTTAGCTACTACCGAGTAAGTCATGTGCTTATGTGAAGTCACGGACGAGTTAGTTGGCCCGTTTCTATTTTCGTCATTAAAGTCAGTTCCTTTGATTTGTTATTCTTATCCAAAACTGAAAATGTTATTTATCATTTGGGAGAATTTACGAAAATTTCGATTAATATATTTGCATGTGTAGTTGATCGTTCGGTTAATAACTTAGGTTGCAAATCTTTCAACAACATTAACAAGTGCTAAAACAATTAGTTCATGTGCATGGGCTCTTTCATATTTAATTTTGCCTAAAGAAATATTCCAACCAAGTTAATAATACCTAACGTGTATACTGTTTACTCTTTACATTCATATATAGTCCTCTACATTATCCACTATGTCAGATTCTCAATTTGTTTAAATATGCTCCCACGACCGCATAGCCTGGAGACAATATTTTCTCACGATCGATGCGACTATAGCATGAACTTGGTTTATGGACCAAATTTGATATAAAATCATTAAATCTCACATCCGCGTGATAGTAATACCTAATCCAAAATATAGTGACACGGTTACAAATCAGAAAAGAGACAAACTGTAAATATCTTATGTCTCACATAGTCACACGGGAAGTGATTTTTGAATCCTTATTTTTGACTGGGGTAATGTTTTTTGACTGATTATAAAACGTCAAACTGTCTTCAAGTATACCATATATCGATGTTCTAGCTAGCCTTCCATGACCGTTTTGTAAGGTTTACCAATGGACGTAGTGTCGTTGTGGGCGTTGAGAGAAGGTGAGTTAAGATTCACATATAGGGCTGGGCATTTTATTCGTTAAATTTGATTCGATTCGTTATTTGTCTCGATTCGATCCGAAAATTTCGGATATCCGTAAACTTTCGAATCAAAGCAAATACTAAAAATCAATATCCGTTAAAATCGAAGCAAATCACAAATATTAAAATTTTGGGAAGCGGATATCCGATCCGATCGGAAAATATATAAATACATGGTATATTTTGATTATATTAAAAATTTTAAATTATAAAATTATTATTATAGCTTATGATTTGAGTAATTAGATTCACATTATTACTTATATAAAATTATTAGATAAAAATAAGAGAAAATTTATGAAAATTATAAAAAAAATCTTAAGTTTTGTGTTATTATAATTGTTAACTTAAACTTAAAAAATTAAAAATATGTAAATTCACTACTTCTTTATTTTTTATTTTATATATCATGTAAAATATATTTTACAAAATAAATTTATATCAAATTTTTAAGATTATTTGTAACGGATGAGATATTCGTAAGTATTCGTAAATATCCGCAAATATCTGTTTATTTTCCGGATATCCGTTTTCCGGATATCCGTATTTTTCCGAAGCAAAACAAATACCAAAATCAGATATCCGTAACATACGAAGCAAATCACAAATACTTTCGAAAACCCGGATATCCGATTCGTGCCACCCCTATTCACATATATGCAAGGCTGCCCCTTTCTCACATTTCATTACGCTACTATTTTTTCTTTTGTAACACGTTTTGTAACATTTTTCATAGCACTAAACAAATGACCATTATGTTTAAAAAAAAATGATCATTATTGTAAATTTCATAGGATGTAGCTACTAATTTACTTCTTTCGGATTTCTAATTAACCTTAATATGATTATATTTTTGATCTCTGTAGGACAGAAATTGTGTAGGCAGCATGCCAGCATTCATATGTCATTGTCCAAAATTTGTTATAAATTGTATACCAATATATCATAATTTAATAAAGCAGATCATTCATATATATTTTTTTGATCATTTACAAAGATGGACTGAATGTTCAAGGTTTTCTTGGCTTAAAATATTTGTATGTAATTAATTCTGAAATAGTTGCATTATAGATGTAAATCAGATTTCTTAGCGTCGTAATTGGACAGAAGGGACAGGGAAGTAAAGAAGCACCGTTCCCTCGTGGTCCCCATTACTTATTCGGGTCCCACTGGAATCAGTTTGTCGGCAGGATCTTAAACCAAGAGTGAGACGACACGTGTTACTGTAGCCTTGCGTATGATGAGCTACTTAACCAGTACTACTTCAGATTAGATTTTGCGGTCACGTGGATATATTTAAATGACGTTAAACTGACATTGAAATGTATAGTGTTGTAATTAATATTCAAAACTGAAATATGTTATATCTGAACATGTTCTCTTAGTTAGAATTGAGTCAATAAAACTATATATTGTTAGTTATAATGATTATAGACAAACAAAGTAATCCGAAAATTACAATATTTTGTTGTTTGAAAAGGAACATTCTTTGGATTAGTCGCCTTTTTGTTTACTCTATCATAAAAAATGAGTATGCAAAGACACGAGAATGCGACATTAAATACGTTTTGTTTAACTGATTTAAGTATTAAAGGGTGTCATGGAATTCATTGAATTCCACTTACAAGTTCCAAGAGGCACAGCACATTGGATACTTTTTTTCTCGTGATTACTCTATTCACGTTGATTCCTTCACCTGAATGAATCTCGTTTTATAAATTTGTTTATGGAAATAAATGGAGTCAGATTAAATGGGGGACACACACATAAACACACTTTTGTAGGGCCTAAGCAGTTATTATACCTTTCACATCTATGGCTTGAGGGGAATGGACATGTTTTAAAGGGTGATGACAAGTAATTATGGGGGACCTTTTATATGTCAAAGCAAATACAGAAGAAGAGAGGATTGGCTCTTTAATATTCGAAACCAAAACATTGGGTCTGAAAATGAAAGGAAGGACAATATAATGAAAGTTACAGTGAATAAACCATACTTGTTGGTTTGACTGATGGAGAAGAGTGACTTGTGTAAACTTGAAAGTCACTAAGTGGTGGTGGTTACCTTTTTTGGTTAATGTGAAAGAACACTTGAATATGAACTTTCACACTTGAATATGTAGTGATTAGTAGTATAAAAATTCCACATTTTCGTAAACTTTTTCTATGGCTTATATATGTATGTAGTGATTTGGTTCCCGCTCTGGACAAAATATTTCATACTCCAATTCTTAATGCCCAGAAGACAATATAAGGAGAAGACCAAAAACAAAACAAAACAAAAGACTAAAAAGTTTAGGGATGAAAGATTAAAAACCGCGAGGAAGGTTTGTGGTTGTTTCTGTCACTGGAGTCTCCTCAGCTCCATGGCTAAACACACCCCCCAAAAAAAAAACAGAAAGAAAATCAAAGTCAAACAGATGGAGTTATATAACAAACAAAAATCAAACATTTGATGGAATCTTACCTGAGATAGCTGAGAGCAGACATACGGTAGAGACAAGTGAAGACAAGTACATGCAATCCTATTGTGTAGAAGAAAGCAAATGTCCTCGCATACCTGAAAAAGAAAACCCAATAAGCCACATAATGTATGTAGTTAATTTGAATATGAATCACAAATAAAGAGCGGCTTACTTGTTTCCTAGAAGGAAACGGCCACTGCTTAGCGTAATCCTATCTCTGATTCCCAAATCTTTGACCCGTTGCTCTCTTTCCTGTTTCAACACATTCATACTTGAATTAGCCTCATTTTCTCTTCTCACAACGAAGGGTTATGAAGATGATAGGAGAAATGATTCTTTTTGTTTTACCTTTTTCGAGAATGCAGCAAATGGGTTAATATCATCCTCGTATATCTTCTTGTATTTAGATTCCACATCCGAGCTGAATCCACTTTCCACATCTTCCACATACTGAGGTGTTGCAGGAAACATATCAATCAACCCTGTGCCAGACAAAAGTTTAAAGGGAAAACGTAATGTCGAAAAGCAGAAAAACCTTTTTGGATCCTCGTGAAACAACTTTATCGTGGTTATAGTCTTGGACATAACGGATTTTGCCATAGAGTTTGACGTTGTCTGCTTTGGTCTTCTCCAATTCGTCTGTGAGAAAGCCTATCTTCTCTTTTAATCGCCTTATTTCCTGTTAAATATTAAGAGTATTCAGAGAGTTTAACAAAGACAAGACAGAGAGGAAAGTGGATCTTCCAAGTGCACTACTGTTTTTACCTCTTCTGTTTCCCGCAACCGTGCTCGGAACCGATCTCTTTGGCTGCAAATAACTTTCAGCATTGAGCTTTGATCTTGTTCTGATGTAACATGTTTCTGATCCATAGGCTAACCAGAAATGATAAGGAGCAGTAATTAGTGATGAGTTATTTCTAGATGAGGTATATATGAAAACTTTCATCAGACGTTTTCACATCGAATTTCAAACGCACATATTCTCCTAAGAGCCAGCGTACAAATAAGACCGTTTAAAATTATCTACCTAAGAACTTAACGCTCTATGTTAATGGGTTATCTAGTTTTTAGTTCTGAACCATTTGATCCATTCCCTTTTCTTTCCGAGGACTTTTCTCAGATTCAAGAGTGTTGCATGAGAAACTACGTGACTCGTATACATGGGTCAGAAAGAAGTACCTCAGACTGCTCAGCCACACCTGCTTCTGAGAACTCCCACTCATTAAAGAGAGCACCTTTTCGCTCTTTTGAACTGTAACCCTGTGTAATAAAGTAGTGAAAAATTTTAAGTACAATCAAAGTTTCTGATATGATTTCTCCTGTTGAGTATAAAGTGAGAAAAATCTTCATAATCTCAGAAAAAATAATATTAAACACAACTACAAGAATCATGAAAGGAAATCCGAAAACAAAAAACACATCTAGAGAGATAGTCTTACATACCTTCAAAATATCATCCTCCAACTTTTGAATTAGTTTCTGCTGTTCATTAACCTTAGCTGTTAGTTCTTCTCCCTTGGCTTCAGCCTTCTCAAGCAAGGAAGTTTTCTCAGAAAGTTGAACCTGGGATAAAAATGGTTTAGTCGACCAATGCCATCGACTTTGTGTGCGTTCATGCCATTAACAGGGAAAGAGTATCGAGGAGACATAATTACAGCGGTACTTGTTAATTACGTAGAAGGTTATTTACCTTTAATTGAGTGACCTCATGCTCCATTTTTCTGTTTTTATCAAGAAGAAGCGACTCCATTCTGCTCATCTCTTCACCAGTGGTAGCAGCATCCCAGTCCTCTGCCTCAATTGAATTGTAACCTACAGCCTAATACGCAGCAAGAGCATTACGCTTTACACAATAATAATGTTACGAGGAAAAAAAGAGGACGGGTCTGTGGCAAGAAGCTCGATAGTGAGAATAAGTAAGTACAAAATAACACCAGAAATGATAAATACCTGCAGAATTTTCACTTTCTTGCGCAGATCATCAACTAATTTAGCTGATGGTCTTTCTTGAAGCTCTTTCTTCATCTCTTCAATGATAGTATCCTAGTTTAATAACAAAAATGAAGGCACGCTAACATTAGACATGAAAAATGATAAGAAACTGGTTTCTAAAACATAGTAAAAATTCTCAGCATAAACGACAAAAACATAGTACAAATTTCACCTTTTTATTGAGCAGCGAATTCAGTTTCTTTATCTCGGAAACATGATCTTCTCGCTCATTTGCTAAAGCTGTCTCAACATTGTGAATCTCCATATTGAGCTCTGATATAATCTTCTCTTTTGCAGTTAAGGAATTCTCCAGCATACTATTTGAATCTACATTATCACTGCAGTGAACAAGCACAACAAAAATACAACAATCAAAACAAAGCAAGAGCTTAGACCAGACCTATTTAAATGCATGTGCCTTGTTAAATGGACACTTAAGTGTCAACTAGCCCACCTATTCTTATTCTCAGTATCTTCATTAGCTGTTTGCAGCTGAGACCGTAGATGTCCCTGTTACAAACCAGTAACAAACATTTCCCGGTTTATCTTTGGCCATTCCCTTAATTTAAACATGACATTTAAAGAGCATTCTTTGAAATACCTTTTCCCTCTCAAGTGAAAGGAGTCTAGTTTGAGCACGTTCCACTTCATCCATCAATAGACTAAGTTCAGATTGCTTTGTCGCTTTTTCTTCGTCTAGTGTTATTGATAAAAAGTAATGTGTATTAACAAGACAAGATGGAACTAAGAAATAAGAACACGAAATGATCCACTATATTGAGGGTAAATGCAAAACCTGATTGAGCACGAAGTTCAAAAAGCTGGCTCTGTGCCAGCTCATGCAATTTTTGCATAGTGGAAACACTGTCTTTTGCTTGCCTTAACTGATCTTGCAAAGCTTGCTCCCTGCATAAAAGGTGAATATGTAAACGATGGTAATGATTCAAAAACTCCTAAACACTCGAATAATCAGGGTAGAAAAAACACTTTACCTATCCTTTAAAAGCTCCAACGTTTTCTGATTTTCCTCAGCCAAATTTCGTTGTTTGATCTCAACAACCTCCTTAATTTTTTCTTCCATCTGAATCCAAATAATTAAAAAAACAAGCTATAACTGTGAATCTTCAACAGCAATCATTTACAAGATCACAAAACAGCATTTCTATTTGGCTCGGTGTAAGAGTTTGCCCTCCCGGAAGAGAAAAAAAAAAACAAAAGCTGACCTGCTGCTCAAGCTGGCGGTTCCGTTCTTCTAGTCTCCTTATTGTGGACTGTTGATTTTTCAGATGAGTGGCTTCAGTCCTAAATTCCTCAAGTTCAACTTTCATTTTTCGATTCTCAGATTCCACTTCAGATAATTTACGCTCTTGCTCCTGAAATACAGCATACCGTAAGTCAGTTGCATATAATACAGGATAGAGGACTTAAGGTTTCTATTTACGTTAACGCAGGTAAATGAAGTATTACAGCAATAGAAGCAAGAGCAGGAAAGGGATCTGGTGCTTCATAGAGTTTCTGATAGATGTTAAGGAAAGCATTCTCCCCAAACTTGGCCCTCTTAGTAATATTATCCACTTCTTCCTGATACCCCTTGAGCAAGGAGTTAAACATACCAAGTTTGTCCTCAGCTGATGCTTTTTTGAAGTCTGTTACCAAGATAAACCTTATAATATGTTAACAGAATATCATAAAAACGTGCTACCTAGAAACTAGTTAGATCCCCTAGGATATAAAAACTAGAGGCATTAAGCAAAAAAGGAAAAAAGAAAAACCAAAAAAGAGAGTACCCCTGGTGCTCTCAGCAAGCTTTCGCCGATTCTTCTGACTGTTTTCTTGATTCTCAGCTATCCTAAGCCCTTGCTCGTCAAGCAGACTCTTCTCCTTCTCCAAATCAAATTCTGAAAAAAAATATTTTAAAGATTGGTGAATCAAAAACAGATGAACAGCAAACAAGCACAGAGCCAGTTATCGAAGTGAGACTTGTTGTTTCCATGCAATCAAGTGAAACTTTCTCAATCCGATCACATTAAAGCTATCATTGCCTTCTCCGGAATATCTAATGAAAAATCTTCATCAGGTCTCTAGTTTGATTCAGTCGTACTTAACTTAAATGGAATCCAAATTAAACCTAAAAACTAAGTTCTCCTAGTACAACAAGCTACTACCGAGGATTCAAAGCAAGCGAATAGATAGATAGGTAGATATATGAATCTGAAACAAACCTTTCCAGAAACTGGTGACGACAGGAATGGGAGAGGAGGAGGAGGAAGAAGAAGAAGGAGGAGGCGGAGTTTTATCTCTTTCCGATCCATCTGGTAAGGTCTCCATTATCCTCGTCTTCGGATCCCGATCTCGCTATACGATTTGAGTGTGAAGAAAGTTTCTGGGAAGTGATGATTTATTCTTCGAATTCTAGGAATGTTGTTGTTTTTTCCTGGAAATTTTTCTAGTTCGATCGGATCTGCACAGAGTTTTGGTGGTAAAATAGTAATTTGCGCTGCTTTTGTATGGGTCTACAATTTTTAACCAGATTTAATGGGCCGATACTTGGGCTATTTAAAGCTCAAATATATGTCACATTTTCCAATTTCACAACAAAAATGATAATTAAATATTCATACTTCCCCCAGACGTGTAAATTGTGGTTCTTAATGAATTCAATGTTTCAGAAATACTTTTAACAAATTAATTATGAAAATTTCCTTAATAATAGTTGTGACTTGTGAGTTAATATTAACAGTTTGCAGCATATTTTCATTTTATATGTCCATAAAAATGTTACAACCCGAAATACATGCACAGTTTATGATAATAAAGGGTTAAAAACGCCTCTCTTTATGATAACATTAACTAGTTTAGTTGTATTGGTTGGGTTACTTAGTTTACAATTAACAGCTTAACTATTCTCTCTCGCGCGTTTAAGTAAAACGCCGATGCAAATTTTGAAGGAAAAAAAAAAACCTTACACACCGAAACACCGGCGTATCCTCCGACCAAGTCCGACTCTCTCTCCGTCCAACTCTAAATCCGTCTCCGACGTCACTAACTCTGGCTCCTTGAAATTAGCTTTCAAGCTCAACTCCTCGAACGCATTAACCACTGTCTGCAACCTCGCGACAAACTCTATGAGGAGAGACGCGAACGTGGCCAAAGACAAGGCACTCGCGCTCTCGTACGTCTCCGTCGTCTCCATCAGCTGGTAGTTCCCGTTAGTCGTCTCCATATGCGTCGGAAGCACAAGCCGTGCAGGCCAAGAAACCTGTTTCGAGAAAGTAGGTCTATGATTCAACGGCTCACGGTGATTCTTCTCTCCCCAGCTCTTGGGTATCTCAAGAACCGCCTCGCTTTGGGACTTGAAGGCGTAGATTGGAGCCTGGGGGAGGTTCTCTGAATCGTCGAGGGAGAGAAGGTCTTGAGGCTCTGACCGTGATCTGTTCCCAATCTCCCAGCGTTCGGAGTTGACGAGAAGGTAAGACTTCTTGTCGATCTTGTGCTGTAATTCTTCGGCAGCTACGTGTACTTCGAAGAGCATGTCGTCTGGTCCTAGCTTCTCCATCTTCTTCACCTTTTCGCCGAGCTCTCTTAACAATCTGGCTCCTTCTACGCCAACTCTCTGAAGCTCTTGCCGGAAAACTTGTCTCCTTTCTTCAGGTGCCTGTGAAACGTTTTCTAAACTATGAGCTTGTTTTGTTCTCATACCCGTAAATCAATCACCAGATTGCACTTAAGCTAGAAAGAAAGTGTTACCTGGATTTCTGAGAGAATGCAGCCGTGTAATGCCATCACAGTGAATGCACAATGCTTGAGAGCGCCACTGAGCTTGACATAGTTTTGCCATGGGTAGTTAAATGACCTGTAAGGTCCGTGAGGCGGCTCCCATATTGCAAAGCTCATCTTTAAAAAAAAAAAAAAGATTAAGAGACAAGAAACATAACTTTTTAATGATGAATTCTGAAATGAAAAATACCAGAGACTCTTCTTGGCTAGTAGACTCGATAGCTGATCTGTAACCCTTGTAAACTGGATCCTCGGAGGCTTGGTAAGTGGCGATTTTGGATGGGACTCTCTCGTATTCAACACAGCGGAGGTATCCATTCACACAACCTGTAAAACACCAAGTGACAGACAATATCAGTCAAGCATCTTCACTAGAGTCTCGAAAGCTAAAGCTTTATGAGTACACTGACCTTCAAGAGAAGTCGCTACATTCATGAAATTCTTGACAACTAGGTTATGAAGATCCTCTCCAGCCCATATAGGATAGATAAACATATTAACCGCTAAACTAACACCAGCACCAAGAGCTATAAGTAGAAACCGAGAGATAGCCACTTCAATAAACTGTCCTGTTCTGAACCCAGAGATGAGAATGTAGCAATAGGTAAGCAAGAAAACCCTGAAACCATATTCATAAGCTTTCATCGCCGGGTATAGTTTCATAAAAGTTGCAATGAACCCTGAAAACAAGAGACGCCTAATACATAAGCACATATAGAAAACCAACAAAACGATAGGTATAAAAGAAGAGAACACAGACCAATGCAGAAGATACTAACTGTGCAAAAGAGCTCTTCCCAATCTCCAGCCAGTGTAGAAAGCTCAGCCATTCCAAGTGCAAGACCTCCAGCTGATAATGTCCCAAGCGCTCTATTAAACCCTTTGCTTAGTGTTGCCCCTATAATAACCAAACAACATTCATCACGATGAAAGCAACTCTACACACACTCTAATGTTTAAAGAAATGAGCAAACAAATAAAATCCAAATACTTCCCACTAGACCATCTCCATTGGGAGGTTCTAACGACGGATTCTTAGTGGAGTATAAGAACCCGTCTCTTAACTTTTAACTAAAAAAGCTAAGAACCGGTTCTTAACTTTTTTTAGTTAATTGAGACGAGTTCTTATATTCAGCTAAGAACCCTATCGTGATGGAGGTCCTCTTAGTTTCTTTCCGCTAAGAACCCTGTCGTAATGGAGGTCCTCTTCGTTTCTATATGAATATATATGAATTCTTAAACCCGAAGGCTTCCAACTTAAAACCAATTAGTTCATTAATTCTTCATTGTTTAACCTATTTTACTCACATGGCAAATACATATATTTTTTCTTAAACAATTTAAAAATCTATACATATTAATAACCAATAAGAGGAATGTTTAACCTAGCTATGGCTAGAACTAGTCCTCCTCCTCCTTACCAATTGTAAATTCGAAGACGACGACGACAGTTAGAATAGCCCAGACGGAGTAACGGCTGAGATCCGGATTAGGCTCCTGGAAGAAAATCAAAACCGCAACAATCGTCAAAGCAAGCCCAATCTTCGCGGAGAAAACAATCTTCCTCGGATCAGATACCCCCATCGCCCACGCCTTCCGCGCCACATCTTTAGCGTCCTCATACACTCCCGAGATTTTACCGGTTAGGTAACCGCACGAACAGCAGCAGCATAACCGTCTCGTTCCGTGATTCTCGTCTTCGAGAAGATCGTTGGACTCGATGTCGCTGAATCTCAGATCGGAGGTGGAGAGAAGCCGCTCGCGTTTCTCGATGAGTCCGTTTCGGAAGGAGCCTAGCTTGGCCGCCATTACTGAATTGGATCCTCAGAGAGGAGAGAGAGAGAGAGGGAGGGGGGGCGGTTACTTTAATGGCGGAGATATTATTGGACTGTGATGAGAATCGAAACTGCTTTTTAGTGATGGTGGGGGAGGGTGTGGTGTGGCCCTTGTAAAGGTGAAGTGTGAATGGGGGAAAGGAAAAAGAGATGGTCCACTAGTATGAAGCAAAGTGACGACGTTTTCTTAAAGAATATTATTATGTGGGCGATAATAGTCCGACTAAAGACGTTTGTTACGTGCGTTACGTCACGTTTAGGATTCTTTTGTCAACTTTCGATATTTTGTCAATCTACTTACCTAAAATAGTTACGTTTCTTTGTCATTTTTTCTTAATCTATTGCTTTAGTGCCAACACAACACAATTAGAAAAATTAACTATTTTTTTGAGCCACCATCCATGTCATTATTACTATTTACTATTTACTAATGCAAGAAGGTAAGCAGAGGTTTCTATATATAAAAGAGAAGCTTTAGAGCATCTCCCTAATAGAACCCCATTGGGGTTCACCAGGTGGTTTTTTTTTTTTTTTTCAAAAAGAAAAAAAAAATTGGATGAATCATGGTTCGCCACGTGGTGAACCCGTGATGAACCAATATCACCGCAGCAAGCTCAAGTGAAGCGGGTTCACCACTGTTTATCTCGTAAACCGTGTGAACCCTTCCCTTGAACCTTTAATAAACTCCTAATGGAGATGGTCTAAGTAGAGAAAACAATTAGTATGACAAGTATCCACCTAATCAATTGAAAAGAGTATTTTAAGGAAGAAACTTATTCACTCTGCGAGTGACAAAACCTGCAATTGTGCAATCATATACCTGATGATATTTTAGAGTTTTAGAGTCTTTTTTCTTTACCATATATGATGAATCTCATAAAAAGAATTTCAACCTCCATCTCCCAAAGACCTGCCACATTGGATATGCAGTCATCAGAAATCCTATACTAAAAGTATGTCTTCATTCTGTAATTATGATACAAAGGTAAAGCACAAGACTCGTGATGGTGGAAACATTTGTTTGCTGAGTTCAATTATAGTACTATATATTGTGTACTCGTTTGTTTAAAAAAAATGTGAACACGTGATATCTTGATGAATGGTTAAGTAGCCCGTAATCACACATACATTCAAAACGTGAATATATGGTATTACCATTTATTAACAAACCTTACAAGATGGATGCCTAAAAATAGTTGCCAACTATCTACACATAAATCTCTTTGGTCAGGGACCGCTCTGGAGGAGATGTAATGCCGCAAGATGCGTTAGCTGTAGCTGAAGCTGAGAATTTGGTGAGGGGAATAAGAGACGTGACACTGAAGACCTACGAGCAGCTGACAAAAGAGGATCCTTTCAGACCGTACTTCTGTCGTGGTTGACAAGAACGCTGACGGGAAGTAACAGTTTGCGAAATACAGAGAGCTTTCTCCAAAGAAATTTGAAGTTGAAGGGTACTTGAGAACTCCATTATCTAGGAGGACGCTCTTTGGTAGTGTTGAAGATAACTTCGTGAATTCAGAATAGCTTTCAATCATATCTGATCAATAAGACAATGAAGACCAGATAGTTTTCCTAAGAAATTACGGTGGAGTTTTTGACTAGAAAGTGAAAAACTAGCGAAAACCAAGAGAAACATAAAGAAATGGACTTATTTGGGTAGCATAATGAAAGACTAATGTTTAGTGTAGTTTCTTCAATACATAACTGAAGATTATAAAACCCTTCCTTGGATCCGCCAGTCCAAAGACTGACATGTTTCAACAATAACAAAGAGTACAAACAAGAGAAAATCTGCACAGTCCAACGACCAATTTCATCATGTAAACTCGGTCACCTACAAAGGAAAAGGAACATTATTAAGGTCACTAAGCACGTCATAAAAGTGAAACCAGTAGCTGCTGTCAACAAGGACTAATAAATATCTAATCAGATCGGCTTCTAATGATTCAAAGTTAAATATACACAACGACTTGAGAGGTTTCGCCTGGACTAGACACAGAGATGGGTCCAAAACCTGTTTCACCCCCATAGTATTATAACCCATTGTAAGATGAGCACTTTGGAGTACGAGAATTATAGCAGACTAAAACTATCAACCACCAGAGTATTCAAATGCCTCAAAACAAAGCCACTTCAACATCTCATACAAGAAATATATACACTTTGGACTCTAGTTTCTTTCATCAATAGCTTACACTGATAGTTACTGATCACTAAGTTGATCTAACAGAGTCACATGAAAAACTCCAACAAAGGCTTAACAACATCTGATTCACTGATGACATACACTCTAATAAAGACAAGCAGGGAACCCTTCTCAAAGTTTCATATCTAGACTCTAGAGAACCCCATACTAATCCATAAATCATCATCATTTCAACCAAATCTAGTGCCAGAAATGCAAAAAAAAATCTTATATCTTTTAATGAAATAAACACAAATCTTTTCAGAAACACACCAACCGTAACAAAGAACCAGTTTACTCACCTCAGCAATGCATCATTCACCTTCAACAGCCTCAGGCTTGGGACCTGATCATTAACATAAACCAACATGATAGTCCGTTTATGAACAAAAACTACGAATTTAGAACTAATCTGAGAGCTCAGGCCAATCTAATTCATTAACCAAAGTCTAAGACAATACAAGTTAAATGGCTGATTCAGCCAGACATTATCTGATTTTGAGACGATAAAAACCCCTACAAGGAATCGAATAAAATGCAATCGAGACACTGAAGAAGAGGTAAAAAGACTCACCGTGGAGGGAGACAGGACGGTGGTCTTTGCCCCAACCGACGCCGCGAGTGGAGTCGAGATACTGCTGGACGAGATGACGGCATTTCTGGTAATGGTTAACGCCTTCCACGCGGTAACACCATTTCACCTTCTCACGCATGATCTTCGCCTTCTCGATTTGGATCCACTTCTCACGGACGATATGCTCTCTCATCTCCACCATCGCCACCGGATCCTTGTATGGATTCGCCGGATCGAATCCATCCGGCGCCGTCTCTTCGAACTCCGGCAATCCCTTCTTTCTCCCCATCGCTTGCTGCTTCTGTCTCTCGGTGGTCTTCGTGATTCGCTTCTGGATTTTAGTTGATGACTTTGCTGTTCAAAAGTACTTTTGGGCCTATTTGGGTCCAATACGCGGCCCAAATTTCAAGCCCATCTTGTAACTATTAAGAATATTATAAAATGGTTGATCTTATATCTAAGATTTCGATAATAAAGTGAAATTATAAGTCAAAATGTTAGCTTACAGAGATATTATTGTAACTAAGGTCCTACATAATAATTGGTGTAATATAATATTTTAGAGAAAATAACAAGAGGTAATATAATATTATCAAATTACGTTTTTAATTATTTTCAATAATGATGAACTAGGTGTTTTGCCCACCATGCGGGCTTAAGCATTTTATAATTATTTGTCAGTAAATATATTAATATAAAAAATTAGAAGCATAAATTATTATTTGTGTTTTCATTTTGAAATTTTTTATTTATCTTAAAAAATATTCAATATTATCTTTTCACTTATATAAAATTAAGAATTTTAATTAATTAATATGTAATTGTTTGTTTTTTCTGCTTTTGAATTTTTAAATATTTTATCAAAAGATAGTTTTCGAATAACAATACAATATATATAGGAATTATCTTTTAAAAATAAAATATATTTTTAGATTTTGGATAACTCTTATTGTTAATATTTTAAATAAATTATCTAATTAAATAAATTTAAATTCGTTTTTATATTTAATTAATTCATATAATTAATTAACTAATATGTAATTATTTGTTTTCTGCTTTTGAATTTTTAAATATTTTATCAAAAGATAGTTTTCCGATAACAATACAATATATATAGAAATTATGTTTTAAAAATAAAATATATTTTTAGATTTTGGATAACTCTTATTGTTATTATTTAAAATAACTATCTAATTAAATAAATTTAAATTCGTTTTTTATATTTAATTAATTCATATAATTTATTCATTAAGGGTATAAACGATATTAACCACTCCAACTTTTAACGTGAGATTTCCGTTGCGAAAAATCACTTCGCAAATAATAGTATAGATAGATGTTACTTGAGAAACTTGTGTTTGTTGTCTACGATAATGTACAAAATAAAAATAATTTTCCCATTAGATAATGACAAAACATTCGGTCTCACACGATATTCCAAGGTTTATAGAAAATCTACCCGAAAAAATGAAATCTGTAAATAACGTGTAGACACATTTAAAGATTTTCTGGACTCCTATCAAATGATTTTAGATTAATTTAGCGTAAATAATATGCCAATTGCAGGGTATGGTCGATTCAGCAAGCGACATACTAAATGACCATATGAGGCAGAAATTCATAAGATTTTTTTTTCGAAACCATCATAATCATTCAATCTATATTGTTTTTTTTTTACAAACATCATCTTTTTTTTGGTCAACAACAAACAACATCTAATATTATTCAAAACGATCAAAATATCTAAACGGGATGTGTAAAAGACATAACATATGTGAAGAAGAACTGCAAGCATTATGAGCTAATTGTTCGCATTGTAAATGTTTTGTACCTTTTTATGTTTTCCTCCATGGGCATTCTACTTGGAAAGACTCGCTTATTCAATTCAAAAGTCATGTACTATGCAAGTGACTATGTGGTTGGAGCCGACTTTCTTAATTCCGGAAATCTGTTTGTTGTTTTAATAATATGTCGGATGATGAGATATAAAAAAAAAAAACATCTTACATCAAAATGGTTAGACAAAACATGTAGGTTTTAGTGTAAACCAGTTCTAGAATAAAGTATCATCCTTGTCATGTGTATGGATATGTGTTTTTCATCAACATAACACTTAGAGCACCCACATTAGTAAACCCCTTGTGAACCTTCATTTTTTCATTATTTTAATATTTTTTTCGTTTGCCCTTTTGAAAAAAGAAAAATTAGATCAATCGCGGGTCGTCACGTGTCATGTGAACCATGCTACAGTAGTGAACCGAGTACACTGCAGTGAACTCCCAAGAGACATGTTCACTTCTTTTGATTATTTATAATTTTTTTCTTCAAAAACTATATGAATTTCCCATTTGAACTCTCAATCGGGGTGCTTTTACATTTGTCATTTGTTCTAGAACTGGTTTCCTTTGGCATGTTCCGTTTAAGTTTTTCTTTTTTTGGATTTGTGCTGCTTCCCTCAGTTGTTCTTAGAGCACCCCCATCAAGGGTTGATGGGGGGAGTTCACACGCGAACCGAGAAAAAATAATAATATTAAAATCAGATTTCTATGAACTCCTCTCTCAAAAGTTCACCGCGGTGAACCCCAATGACCCCGGGTTCACCACGTGTCAACATATGATTGGTCCAAAATTAATTTCTTTTTTTTTTCAAAAAGTAAACGAAAATAAAAAAAAAAAAAAAATTTATTGGTGTGAACCCCCAAGAGGGGTTCATCAATGTGGGTGCTCTTATTTTCACAGTTCGTAGAATTTCATATAGATTGATATCCTTATTTATAAATACCTTATCGTTCTTTTGTTTTTAAATTTACCAAATTATCTATGACAAAAAATCATTTGGTAATCTCCAAAAAGAAAACTTGTATTTGAATAATATGAGGATGCTGGAGACAAACCTGGATGCATTGGAATAACAGATGGAGCCATATTTGTAATGATCGTAGACATTCAAAAACAAAAATTATTGATTTTTATTTTTTGTCCCACATCAACTACAATGACTATCACAAATTATTCTATGAGATTGCAAAATCCTGTTGGCTGGGCCATATTATTAGCTTATAACTTAATTGTTGAAAATTTGTGATAAGTTATTTAATATCTACTGGCCATTATTAGTCTATAGGATATACAAGTCATGAATTGTAACCCTCACTCATAGATTATAATAATGAATTACAACAAATGTTCTACAGAGAAATATGTAATCTTCTAGTTTTTTTTTGGTTAAAGTACTGTGATATATACATCCATCACAAAGTATAGAAAACGGTTCTTCAAATTTTTAGATATATGCTAAATGTTCTTCATGATTTTAACCACAAATATAACATATTTTAATTAGTTAAGATACATTTTTTTTTCTTAACTTCGACATAAGTTTTTTTGGTAATCATCTTCAACATAAGTTATCTGTTACTAGCATGTATATACGTGTGCGTGATTCTGGAATGCTGGAATCCCGTAAACAAGGAAGGGACAAGTATGAAGAATAATATATTCAATTGTGGAAGTTTTCAAATGGTAGGATTGACATATCCTAAATACATATTTATGACCCAATATCTCGCTACAAAACAAAAACTCTCCCAGTAAATCTGCTTTGAATAACATTAATTAATTATTTCCGTGTGTTTGCAGTGATATAATTCTCACATTTCTATAGGTTGGTGGGCTCTTTAACCACCCTTCCAGAGTAATTATTTAACCTTGTCTAAAATAATGAAAGTTGAAAATAACTAACCTGCAGGCGTGTATTGTAAAAGGATTCAACCAAAGTTTCAATGCGAATAAGGACTTCTTCTTTTATTTTATATTTTTTTTCTGAAAATGGCTTTCAAATTAATTGCAAAGAAAGAAAATAAAAAGTTTACGAACCCAATAATTTTTCGATGCGAATACGAACCTTTTACTATATCATATATAGAATGAATGGGTTGAATAAAACATAATCTTAAGAAAAACAGATACCGTTTACGAAAAAAAAATTCACCATGCTAACAAGCACATCTACCTTTTGTTTATTTTTCACTACAATTATCACAAGTTAAGTCTATTTGGCAGAATACACTACAATTATCACAAATTAAGTTTATTTGGCAGAATAAAAGAAGAAGACGAGTTATCGACAGCACCAAATAAACTATGTGATTTCTATTGTTTTTCGGGTACACATGGTTATATGAAAGACAAATATACGATCTAGCATATTTATTTATCTACCAATCAAGAAATCGATCGGTACAACGATTGAATGTTTTAGTTAACACAGTACTAACACCCGACAAACGTGGAAACATTTGCACGAAATAATTTAACGTAAAAGATGAGTTATGTATAAAAGAGCATCGCAAAGCGATTCGATCGAATATATAGTTATATGTTTATTGGTATAAATATATATATGGCTGTGAGACTAGCAAAAATACAAGTGTCAATAGTGTAAGGTGGATGTCTATAATCGATATAAAATTTAAAAGATATATGTATAGAACAGTATAAAAAGTTGACGACTAGTCTAGATTTAATTAGGTTTAAAGCTTTCATGTCATAATAAATAGCTGATATGACCAAAGATTGGAGAAGCCATGCACGCATGTTCACATTACATTGGGTATTAGGGTTTCTTTCATGGTTGGTAGAATTGGGTGAAGTTGGTTGGACAAATCTCACAAAAATCCATTATACAGAATAATAATTATAATTGTGCAGATATTAAGACGGATATTGTTTTATAAACATAAATGTAATATAAAATTAAAGGAACATTAATATATACGCCGACATAATATTTATTAGACACTACAGCTAACATAGCTCATGTCTACATAATATATATGTTACATGACATGACTACGTATGCGTGGATGAAATAACCTTGAATTGTCAAAATATTAGCTGTGATAAGGAACAGCTGAAATAGACTACCGTGGATGCTTCTCCCTCAAGATCAGTATTTGGTACACAAATCATTTTCTTATTTCAATATATATAGTTTAGTTATATAAGTGAAAATATCTATATATAAACCCCCATCTATGTCACATTATTGAAAAGTTTTCTGCGGTCAATCTGATTTGTTCTCTTCAAGAGAGCTAGCTAGAGAGGAGAAGCAATTTTTTTCTATATACTACTAAAAATGGAAGACAATCTTCCTCCAGGGTTCAGATTTCATCCTACAGACGAGGAGCTGATAACGCATTATCTTTGTCGGAAAGTTTCCGATAATGGATTCACTGGTAAAGCTATCGTCGACGTTGATCTCAACAAGTGTGAGCCTTGGGATTTGCCAGGTATACGTTGATCACTCATATACTAATATAGAATACGTTTTGTGTTTATAGCTTTATAAGTGTTCGCCTGGTTTTAGATAATTTCCGAAGGGATAAAGGTTAAGTGTGTAGTAATAGCAACAAATGCATAAGATTATGTGAGCATGCTTCCTTTTGTTCTGTTGTTTCGTATCTACATGGATTTTTACAGTAATTCTAGAAAACTTACAATAATATTAAAAGTATAATCAATCATATGTCTTCGGCAAATATGATCGCTATAAATGGACTAATCATATACAATTTCATAGCAATACTTAAGTATCTATAAATATATATATATAGATTCATGCATCATATACCACTTAATATAACTTTATATATGAAACCATAGATTTGTTACTTTGATTTCGTAATCGCATTCTTTCATTTCTCTTTCTGGAGAGTAAATTATTTATGTTCTTGGTGCATCTAGCCTACCAAAGATAGACTCGTTACTTTGATCTCGTAATCGCATTCTTCTTTTCTCTTCTTGGAGAGTAAATTAGTTATGTTCAATTGGTGCATCTAGCCTACCAAACATGGGGAGACCATACACATACATATGCATATAAAAAATTTCTAGTTAGATGGCGTATAGTTTAGTTAATAACTTAACATTATACTCTTTTCTTTTTGAACAAAAACATTATACTTAAAATTATTATATTATAGCTGTCAAAAATGTTAGTATCCGAATATATGTCGGCCAATGTTATAGAACTAAAATAATGTCGAATACTTGTGCTTATGTGCAGACAAGGCTTCAATGGGAGAGAAAGAGTGGTACTTCTTCAGCCTACGAGACCGGAAATACCCAACCGGGTTAAGGACAAACCGAGCAACTGAAGCCGGTTATTGGAAAACTACCGGTAAAGATAAAGAGATATACCGAAGTGGAGTACTGGTAGGGATGAAGAAAACCCTAGTTTTTTACAAAGGAAGAGCTCCAAAGGGCGAGAAGAGCAATTGGGTTATGCATGAGTATAGGCTTGAGAGTAAACAACCCTTCAAACCCGCTAAGGTACCGTATATATACTTACAAAATGCTAACTATCAAGCTATTTGGAAGTTAGCTAAACCTTGTTCTTTTATTATTTTTTAAAAATTATAAGTTAAATTTTATTTATCAAAATTACAATTATTTGTTTATATTAAAACAGTCAGGCTTTGACTTGTCTATGAAAATATTAACTCTCACTCTTAATTTTATTGACAAAACTATATGTGTTATATGTATTTGGAATTTTTAAAATGTTTTGGACCATGTGTGTTTATGCACTATTGGCATGCGGCATGCCCACAACTAGACATGTAAGCATTCAGTTTGAAGATCGGGCAAACATATTAACCACCTAAAAATGGATTCAGTTTTCGTGGTTAACAATAGTAAATATATTTAGTTTCGAGAAATATCTAGTGTAGTTTCGTTTATATACAACATATAATTTTTTTTATATGTCCATGAATTACAATGTAATATAACATGATCTTGAATAATATCATGTTGATTTTCAGGAGGAATGGGTAGTGTGTAGGGTTTTCCAAAAGAACATAACAACAAAGAAACCACAAGAACAACAACCTCAATCATCTTTTGGATCTCCATGCGATGCAAACTCATCCATGGCAAATGAGTTTGAAGATATCGAGCTTCCGAATATGCACACAAGCACATCAACCCTCGATTACAGTCACATTCATCAACAATATAACAATGTTTATTCAGAAGACAATACTACAAGTACGGCTGGTCTCAACATGAACATGAACATGGCTGCCACTAATCTTCCGTCTTGGACAACAAATCTACTGGGTCCGCCTTTATCGCCAATCAACTCTTTGTTGCTCAAGGCTTTCCAAATTAGGAACTCTTATAGTATCAATCCTTCTCTTCTTCAGCAAGGAGTCTCCACTGTTATGCAAGACGGTTCGAGTTCGTCTCAGCCGCAACCGCAGGATGAAACGTTTAATATGGACTCCTTGTGGTGATTGGTGAAGAGATTCAAATCACATAGATATTTGAATTTCTTATTAACTTGTTCATATGTAATCTCCATCGATTTCAACTGTGTCACTAATTATATACACATAGATCTTCTAATGAGGTCAATAAAACTAGTTAGTGCATCTCTTATGTGAAACAGCGAGAGTACATGGAAACGTTTACCATATTACACATGTCTATATGATCTTTCATGTTTATAGGCTATATAGACTTCTACATACACAGAACTGTCTTATATGGCCTTTATAAACCAAGAAATGTCTTACACATATCTGTCCTTTCATGTTTCCCATACACGTAGATTTGTACACCCCCCACAGTCATTATCTTGTCTCCACATCAGACCTGAGCATTTTTACCCAAAACCGAATTCCCTATTTAATTCCGAACAAAAAAAAATCAAAACCAAATCGTTATACAAAAGAATATGGGAACAGATTTAAGAGCTCGGTGTTTTGGAGTATAAATACAACCCTAATCGAATCGAAATCTAAACTTGGATTCGATTATATTCGAAATTAGTTAGATATGTTACTATTTTTATATATGTTAAATTAATTTAAATAATTTATAGTATTTTAAAGATTTTTATAATTTATTTTATTTGTTATTTTTGAATAGCCTTTAAGTAATTTAACTTGTTTTAATTATATATATTTGTGAATGGAACTATAGTGGGCCTATTTAATGGGCCTTTATAAAAGCCCATTTTGCTGTAAACTATAAAACAAATATAGCAGTATACTTATTATAGTTCGGTTAAGGTAAAACCGGTTTCATTGTCCTCGAGTCACACCGGCAGATTCACCGGAAAAATCGAAACTTTTAGTGAGAGAAAACTCCATTTCGATTTCACTTTCTGCCGCCAAGTTTTGTTCTTCCTTATCTTCGTAAGACGACGATGGGTCGGCCTCCAAGTAACGGCACTCCAGCGTTTCGATTCAACCTCTCTGAGGTGATTTGATGATACTCCTCTTCGTAAAGTTATGTGCTTTGTGTTGCTTGAAGGGTTGAATTCTGGGGTAATGTTTAGTTTGCTTAGGTTTAGGGTTTTACTCTGACCAGTTTTCAGTTTTTTTTTCCTTTTGTGGAATTATTTTAAAGTATGTGCCTTTTTTAGGTTTAGCTTCATAAGTGTTTCTGTCTCTTGTGTTTTTGTAGTTTTCCTGTATTGGACAAAAGTTGTTATCTGGTTTTGTAAGTTTTTTTTTTTTTTTAAATCTTACTTTGTTTTAGCTGAACATTTTGAATGATTTTTTTATAAGGTAACGGAGATGGAAACAGTTTTGCAACAGCATGATACAGCAATGCCAGGTCGTCATACTCTTGAAGCTCTTGCTGATAAGTTTAGGTATAACACTATTTACTATTTACTCCTTGGTTTTGACATGTGTGTGTGTGTTTTTATCATCTAAAAAGTTGTTTTCTTTCTTAGTAACACTGTGGAGCGGAAGGGGAAAACTGTTGTGCAGTTCAAACAAGTACTACTTCTTTTATTTTTCACTGTTTCATAAGTTTAAGGATCCATCTTGGACATGCGTTTTTAAAATGGGTGTTGTTTTTTTTATTCATGACAGATATGGAACTGGTTTCAGAACAGGCGATATGCTCTGAGAGCAAGAGGGAACAAAGCTCCTGGGAAGCTAAATGTAACTTCCATGCCGCGTGGTTTGGATCCTACTAACCATATGAGAAATGTGCTTCCACCATCATCAGGTGCTAAGTCCACTCATATGACTGGATCCGTCATGACGCCTTCTCATTCCGGTATATCAGGTGCCTTAATATGTATGCCTTTTATGTATTCATTTCAATAGGTTTCACTGGATGCGACTGTCTTTATATTTTACTGCTTATTTTTCTTAGTTCCAGGTGTCATGAGGAGTGGTTCAGACAATTCTTACTTGGAATTTGAAGCCAAATCTGCCAGGGATGGTGCATGGTGAAGTTTTTTTTGGCTGACTTATGATACTTTTCTTCAGTTTTCATTACACTCTTCTGTTTTTTTTTTTTTTGTTTTTCTAATATGTTTCTCTTTCTTTACTTACAGGTATGATGTACAATCTTTCCTAGCTCATAGAAACTTGGAGATTGGTGATCCGGTAACTCCCTAACCGGTTTCCTGTTTACTACTTTGTTCCCTCTTCTTCTTTTTTTTGCTTAATAACATATATTTTCTGTTGGGGTATTTCAGGAAGTGCAGGTACGATTTGCAGGTTTTGAAGTTGAAGAAGATGAATGGATAAACGTCAAGAAGCACGTTAGGCAAAGGTCACTCCCATGTGAAGCATCAGAATGTGTTGCAGTTCTTGCTGGAGATCTCGTGCTTTGCTTCCAGGTTTTAGAACTATGTTTTATAAAACATTCAGCGATAATGTGTCATGTTGACTTTACTATCTCTGACTCGTCTTTTTGTTATAAACATCTTTAGGAAGGGAAAGATCAAGCTCTTTACTTTGACGCCACTGTTCTTGATGCACAAAGAAGGAGACACGATGTCAGAGGTTGTCGTTGTAGGTTCTTGGTGCGGTACACCCACGACCAGTCCGAGGTTTGACTTTCCATCTCTCTCTCTCTTGCCCTCCGTCTCTAATACCCCTTCTCACTCACCTACTTTTGGATTCTTATTCCAGCAGGAGATCGTTCCCTTGAGGAAGATTTGCAGGCGGCCAGAGACAGATTACAGACTACAGCAACTTCACAGTGCTGTAAATGACTCTGCTAACTCGAATCAGCTCCAGAAACCCCCTCCAGATGCGGCTGCAATGACTCCTGTTTCACAATCCGCCGCCTCGGTTCCTATTGTTTCACCTGATGTGAAAGATCCGAGCTTGAGTGCTGCTTCAGTTCAACCTAGCTCCAATGCAGCCACTGTCCCCGCTGGTCCTACTGCATAGGCCATCAAGCTATGTATGTCTCCATTTGGTAACTATATTCACTCTCACTAGCTAGAGTTGTAGAGGTTAAACTTGGGGATCACGAGCTTTTTTGTAATCTTACAGAATGACCCCAAGTCACATCTTAAACTGTATCATGCTATTTTATTTAATCGTTCATGATGATGGAATACTTGTGGTTTAGTCCGGTTTGTTCATCATTCAAGAAAGTCATGTGTTTCTCTGTAGTAATATTGAGTCAATGGGTCGAATTACAAACGAAAATATTTTCTTGTCCTCAAAATGATAGTATCCTCGACTTAAATGTTGATTGGCTTCTTTTCTTGTCCTCAATTAGCAAAAAACGAACTCTGTTCCACCATTATAGATAATGGAGATAACCATAAAAAAAACATGTGACTCATGTTAAAAGATAAAAAAAAACATTAAACAACATGTGATTAACAATAAGATCCATAAATCTCTCAGTTAATTACATCACGTTTTTAAAGTTTAAACCTGGATTTCAGCAATCTAGTGGCGTATATTTCTTAACTGTGTTGGCCTCAAAAAAAAAAAAAAAATTTTAACTAGACCTAATTAATTACATAAAAGTAAAAAAATATTCTCACGTGGCCTAATATTATCCACTTAATACGCGCCAGAATACACGTGGGTTGCACACTGAACACACGAGAAGAACGTTATAAAAGCCACTCTTCCTTCACACTTCAACATCTCTCTCACACACAACACAACTAATACGAATCTCATTTTGTTTTACTTTCTTTAATTTTCCTTTCTTACCATTCCTTTGTTTACTTAAAACAAAAACAAAAAAAAAACATTACTTCTTCAAATTTTTTATTTTATTTATATTAAATGAACTCAACGTTCAACGACCACCACCATCTGAAAAGAGAGCCTAATGACAACTCCGGCGTCGGAATCATATATCCTCCGTCACCTTTGCTAAAACTAAACAAAGAATCCCACGTCATCAAAAAGCCTCCTTCACCGTCCTCCTCCTCCTCCACCGCCGCCAAGCCTCGCCAGCCCGTGATCATCTACACAAACACTCCTAAAGTCATACACACTAATCCTAAAGACTTCATGTCTCTCGTCCAGAAACTCACCGGAATGTCTCACTCCGAGGAAGATTCCGGCGGAAAATCAATCAACAACAACCAGACCGTCTCTGATCTCACCGTCGACAGAAAAATTAACCGGCATCGCTCCGTCGCCGCCGTCGGCGGCGGCGGCGGCGGTGGTGGTGGTGGTGGTGGACATAACAGCTACAACAGAAGCTACTCCGGTAACAACGGGAAAGCAATTTTCTTCAACAACACAACCATCTGCGAAGACAGTGAGTCATCGTCTGTGATCACAACAGATGAGAACATGGGAGAACAACAACATGGACATGTTTCACCTTTTCCTCATCCTCCACCACCGCCTCCACCTCCTCCACCGTCTATGTACGATGCTGCGGCGGCGACGGGAGGGATTAACTACAGCTCTTACTTCTCGACGCTTTTGCCGGTGAATAATCCAGCGGATAGTTTTCTCTGTGGGAATCAAAACTTTGCTAATTTTGATGATCCGCTTTACTTCATGCCTAATATGAGAAGCTCTTTCTCTTCTTCTTCCTCTTCTGGGTTTGATGGGTTAACTGAATTCAGAGATTTTTGACATTGTTTTCATCAGAGAAAAAAAAGATACAGTTTTTTTTTGGATTGTTTCTATTTTTTTGTTTCCTATTGAGGAAAATAAATTTTGTTTTTATTTGAGTTTCTGGAAATAAATTTGGCATTAGTTATGATCCGTTTAGGTTTATTTTTGTAGTCGAAATAATGTTTTATGTGATTCATATGTGCTTCTGTCGTTTTAGTAATTTAAAAATATATCGGTTAAAACAACATATATGCGTCTAATGAGACTTAAACGACACGTTTTTCTAGAATAATTTGTTAAAAATCGGTTTAAATGTTCAAAATCAGTCTGGACACTCGAATATATGAGTTTCTGAATATATGTGATTTCTTATATTAAATTACTATAAAGGAGTAGCCTAAATAGGTAGAGCAATTTCAAGATGAAGATACAACTTCTGTTCTAAAAATCGACCGCCTAGACGTTAGGTGACTCTCTTCCGTCTCTATTTATGTCAAATCACCGTAGAAAATTGATCATCCGATTTTAATCTGTCTAGACCGCTTAGATGACCGTCTAGTCGCCTAGACGGCCGCCTAATCTATTTCTTTTTATTTTTATTATTTTTAATGATATTTTTTATCTATTTATTTGTTTTAAAATTTAATAAATTATAATTTTGATGAAATTATATCATATTAATTTTGTATATTTTATTTGTGTGTGTTTATAAGATTCTAAACATGAAAATGTATTAATGTTATACACAATTAGAGATTAATATATCTTATAACATATTAAATAATCTAAACATTTTGTCCCGTATAATTCTCGCTATCCCCGATTTTTTCTCTAGGCGCTAGGCCCAATCGAACCGCCCGACTAGCGCCTAGCGCATTCTCGAACATAGGATACAACTCATTCATTAATAAAAAGAGATAATTGGCTAAAGTGCCCTATTTGGCACATATAATTAGAGAATTGCCCATGATGTGACAATCACTTTCCTTTAGACCATTTTGCCCTTCTCTACACTCTCTCTCCTCTCTTTGACATCTCCTCTCTTTTTTTGTCTCTTCAATACCTAATTATTTTACAAATCTCTATCATTCTATATACAATTAAATTTTAAATTTCATTATTTTTTCATAAGTGGCTTTGAATCCTCAATTTTGACCCTTTTTTTTCTCTCCAATCCCTAATTATTTTACAAAATCTCTATCATTCTATATTCAATTAAATTTTAAATTTCATTATTTTTTTCATAAGTGGCTTTGAATCCTCAATATTTTGATGATATCAATTTTTCTGGGTTTTAGATTCGACGTCGTGTTAGCGGTTAACAAATATTGTAGACGTTAACAAAAGTGTTAGGTGTTAACAATTATTTTTACGCTTCGCGTTAATAAATGTGTTCGCTGTTAATAAATATTGTAGACGTTAACAGAAGTGTTAACTGTTAACAATTATTTTTACGCTTCGCGGTAATAAATGTGTTGGCTGTTAACAAATATTGTAGACGTTAACAGAAGTGTTATATGTTAACAAATGTTTTCACGCTTCGTGTTAATGAGAGGAAAGAGAAATGGCATTCTCGGCATTTCCTTGTCAAATGGTTGTGTCAGTGTCTTTCATGTCCAATCAATGGTATTTTGTTAATTTGAGCTTCAAATATAGGTAGTTCACTAAATCACTCTAATAAAAATGAGTAATTCTTGGGTTCAATCATTAGGACCAACCAATATAATTACGTTATTTTATATTCAATTTTTTTTTAAAAAATAAAAAAAATATTTACGAGCTATATTATATTTTTAAAATTTAAAGATAAAACTAAATAAAAAATAATAGTAGTTACAATTTTTTTTTTAAATTTTTTAATACTATTATCAAAACACTAAACTCTAAACTCTAAACCTAAACTTTAAAACTCTTCCGTAAACCTTAAACCCTTGAATAAATACTTGTCTTTTTAAAAAATATTTTTAATACCGTCATCAAAGCACTAAATCTTAAATCTTACCATTGGATTATCATTAATTTTAGGGTTTAAGATTAGTCCAAAGGTTGAAAATTTACGATTTTGGATTTAGGGTTTAATTTTTGCTGACAGTAAAAATGTTTTTTAAAACAATTTTTGTTTACAAATACTAATATTTTTATCCATTTTATATTTTAATTTTAGAAACATAATATAATTCAATAATATTTTTTAAAGATATTAAATATAAAATAATATAGTTCTATTGATTGATGAACCTTAGAGTTCACTATAGGAGTTGAACCCAACAAATTTTGTTAAAAAAAGATGTGTGAGTTTCTTAGTTTTTTTTTTAACGTCTGCATAAGACCACAGAGGAGTGGTAAAGTTTGAAACAAAACAGAGGAAATAAAAAGAACACTCAATCTAAAGATAAAGATATATGAGTGCATCCTTCTAGCTTCTCTGTTGATGATGTTATGAAGCCAAGCTGGTCCACCTCTCGCCAAGTACGACTGAAACCTGCCATCTCGGAGGACACTTTTCGCGATCTCACGTGCAATCCTGTTGGAGTCCCCTGTCTCTGCTTCAAAAGCCACCGATGGGAATCGATTACAAAGCTGATGAATACGTTAGAGGATGCAACGAAACCTTGGCCAGTCACTGGGCTTTTTCACTGCCAACAGAAGATCACCAAGGTCGGACCCAATGATGACTTCTTGATAACCCAAATCTTGTAGACTGTTGAGAGCCCACTCAAGGCAACGAAGCTCCGCAGTTAAGCGGTTCGGAGAGAAGGTCAACGCCTCTCGCGCATGATGCAATACATTCCCCCTCGCGTCTCTAATAATGTAGGATACTCCACTGTGTAACTTGGCATTTCGCCAATTAGCATGGATGTTACATTTAACATGCCCAGCCATAGGTGGTTCCCACCTCTTATTCTCCGTGTGAAGCCTATTCTCGTCTACCATCTGCTCTGGATTTTTATTCAGGTCATTCCAAGTCTGAGATTCCTCCCTAGCTTGCTGAATTTGTAGCTCCAGAGATACCTGCGTGTCAGCATATAGAATCGAATTCCTATTTTTCCAGATTGTCCACAGCGTCCACGGTATTACTTGCCTTGTATGTTCAGGAATTGTTCCATCCGACATCATCTTGATGTGGAGAGTCAGAAGCTCCACAACTGAAAATGCAGAGTATTCAGGTTTTTGGGGAAGACCCATTCTGTGCCACACCTCTCGAGCCGTAGGGCAGTGAAATAGGACGTGCGCTATTGATTCCGGTTCCAACGAACATAACTTGCAGGTCACGTCAATGCTTATTCCACGGGAGCACAGACGATTTGCGACCGCCAATGCACCAGAGACAGCTCTCCATAAGAAACTCCGTATCTTAGGCACCGTGGGGATCTTCCAAATCAGTTTCTTAGCCTCCAAGATCTCTTTAGTATTCCAGTTAGGTTCTTCTATTTGAGGAATTTTCATTCTCGAAGCTAGAAGGTAGCCACTTTTAACTGAGTAAGAGCCATGAGGTGTGTATGCCCAGATCATTCTATCTGCCGAGTTACCAACATGAAGCTTGAGAATACGCGACACTTCATTCTCTGGAAAGAGTTCCTGGAGCTTCTCTATACACCACTGTCCATTAGCGTTTAATAATGAATCCACCTTTAAGTTAACATCAATCGCAGTGTTCCTATTGATAGGTTGTCTGGGATCTTCATCCATAACCCACTTCTCAGACCAAACATAAGTAGATTTTCCATCCCCAACCGACTTGATGTGACCCTTTTCAAGGAGATCCCGTCCAAAGAGAATGCTTCTCCAGGCATAAGATGGACGAGTACCTTTACCACATTCCAACAAGCTCTTGTTAGCAAAATATCTTCCTTTGTAGATCTTCGCAATCAAACTTTCAGGGTTATTAAGTATTCTCCATGCTTGCTTCGCTAATAATGCTTGGTTGAAATCTTCAATGTCACGAAACCCTAGTCCACCCTCCTCCTTAGGCACACATAGTTTCTTCCAAGCAATCCAATGTATCTTCTTCTTGTCTCCACATTCATCCCACCAAAAACTTGCCATGGCACTCATGATTTTTTGACAGTGATGTTTAGTCAATCTGAAACACGACATCGCATAGAGCGGCATAGCCATAGCTATAGACTTCAACAATATTTCTTTACCTCCCAATGATAGCTTCTTAGCAAACCAACCATGTAGTCTCTTGTTAAGCTTTTCACCAATAAAAGCAAGCAGTTTCTGCTTGGAACCGCTAAAACACTCCGGGAGTCCCAAATATTTGCCATCACCACCCTCTTTTTCAATGCCTAGAATCTCAGCTAATAGTCTCTTCATCACTGGGTCAATTCCAACTCCAAAGGTAATAGCCGATTTCTGAAAGTTGATAACCTGTCCGGAAGAATCCTCATAGAGTTTGAGGCACCTCAAGAATTGAGTGCACTCAGCCAAAGTCGCCTTACATAGGAAGAAACTATCGTCGGCGAAGAGAAGATGCTGGACAGGCGGCGAGGACGGAGCTATCTTCATACCTGAGATCACACCTCTCTGTTCAGCTTGGTTCATCGTATGAATGAGGGCTTCAGCGCAAAGAATGAACAGAAATGGAGACAAGGGATCGCCCTGTCTAATACCACGTTGAGGAGATATGTGACCGTACGATTGACCGTTGAGTAACACTGAGTAGGAGACAGACCGAATGCAACCCATGATCCATCCAATCCAAGTAGAATGAAAACCCAACTTAATGAACAACGTCTCAAGGAAGTTCCATTCAACTCTGTCATATGCTTTCGACATGTCAGTCTTGATTGCTATATAATCCGACTTGCAGTTGGGATTGGTTCTCAAGCCATGAATCATTTCATGAGCTATAAGAAGGTTATCGGAGATAAGACGATCTGCTACAAAGGCCCCTTGTGCCGGCGAGATGATGGAAGGAAGGATAACGCGTAGCCTATCACACAGGATGTTAGACACGATCTTATATACCACCGAGCAAAGGCTGATTGGTCGTAAGTCCTTCATGTGGGAAGGGTTCTGGACCTTAGGTATTAAACATAACTCTGTAAAATTCCAGTCTTGTGGGAGATGACCCGCGTCAAAGAAATTCTTGACTTCCTGTGTGACTTGAGGGCCCGTGATATTCCAGAATTTCTGAAAGAATTTCCCAGTCATTCCATCAACCCCTGGAGAACTGTCACTCTTGATAGCTTGAACAACACGTTTGATTTCAACATCGGGGACTGGCTTAATCAAATTTCTGTTCATACGCTCCGTAACTCTTGGATTCATGCCCTCCAGCAATTCCATAGCATCCGCAGAACCGTTAGACTGGAAGAGTTCACTGAAGTAATCCACCGCGATCTTACCTTTCATGTCTTCTGAGAAGTGTTCAATGCCAGACCCATCCACAAGAGAATGAATCTTGTTTTTCATCCTTCGAGATTCCACCCAACCATGGAAAACTTTTGTATTCTTGTCTCCCACGCAAAGCCAAGAATTCTTGCTTTTGAGTTTCCAAAAGGCTTCTTCCTCCTGATATGCCTTCTCCAGCTCAGTTCGTAGGACTGGCAATCGTGCAAGATCCGGTCTCACCTTGCTCTCTTCACGCTCCAGTTCTTTTCTTAAACGGCTGATGTTAACATTGGAGTTTACATTTGCAGTCCGTTTCCATTTAGCAAGTTCCTGTCTGCAAGATTTGATGCGTTCAGACACGGAGGCAGTAAGAGATGAACCACTCAGACTCCATCCTCTTCTCACAACATCTTGGATCCCTGGTTTCTTGAGCCACCGTTTATCAAACATAAAACGCCCTGTTCTTTGCGGCTGTGTAGAATCCAGGCAAGTAAATATCGGCCTATGATCGGATCCCGTCTTGTCCAAGTAAAAAGAATGAGTACTTGGGAATAACCGGAACCATTCCGCATTCCCGAATGCCCTATCAAGCCGGCATTGAATCCACACCTTCTCTTTGATGCCATTACTGATAATCTCTCGAGCACCAGACCAAGAGAGACGATTACCCGAGCTAGGCACCTCTTTTAAACGACAGTCTCTTGCCAATCCTCTAAATTCGAAAAAAGAGCTCTCATGCCTTCTCGGTCCTCCTACTCTCTCTGAGTTATTCATCAACTCATTGAAATCGCCCACCAGAAACCATCCTCCATCTCTATTCATTCCAATATCTTTTAGCACATTCCAAACAACCTTCTTCTCTGCTGAACTGGATCTCCATAAACAAAGGAA